TGTACTGCTACTAACAAACCAAAAGTCATGGTTTGCTAACAATGCTTCAGCTAATAGTCCACAGAGCTCTGAAGCAAAACATTTTCTATATTTTTCACAACACAAAGACTAGAGGGCATCAAAGTGTAACCCACACTTGTGCTAACATTTAATGGTGATTCTTTTAGTTGTGTATGAGTTGAGGTGTTCAGTGCTGGTGTAAGCACCCAAAGGAAAAACTGCCTAAAATAGGGTAAACTCCAATAGAGAATTGTTGGATCTTCTCTGCAGAGAATAACCCTGGACATCTTTGACTCACTACTGGAAACAGTGAGAGGTCATCATTATGTACTTGTTGCTTAAGTTTGTAATGGACAGCACCCTTAGGGCTAGTTGTTGGGGCTTCGACTGTACTGTTGATTACACCAAATTTATTTAATTGAGGATTGCAGTGGCGAGTGGAGCTCACAAGTCGCTAACTCGAGGAGATTTACAGTTAGACTAAAGAAACTGATCCTGAGACTGATATTCAACACAATACATCAAGTTTACCAAGTAAGGCTTTAATCATTTGCTAACTCTTCATAAAAGAACACTTTTAGATTGAGCAACACTGATATTTATAACTTACATATAACGTAGTTTACTTTCTTAGCTTTCATATGGTTTTTACAATCTATCCATAATTACATTAATTGACTAAGAGAGAAATAGTTTCATTGCTTACAGTACAGTTGGCCTGGTGAAACGTTGAAGATTGGACACTTTCATGTTCATGGTTTCTGAACTATCAGAAACTCTGAGAGAACCTCAATTCTTCCTTTTAAACCATATTTTTTTGTATTCTTTTGACTCTCCAAATAGTATTGCTAACTACCTGCAAGTAGTTCTAACACTTTATTGGTCAATCTGTGCAACTCCTGGGCTTTTTAACAGAGAATTTTTGAATCAGCTCGCCAAAATTGACTGTCTCCATTACAATGTGTTTCATGCTCATATGCGCCAGATTGACTAATCCCTTTTGACTCAAAGTTGATCGGAAGCAGTTTTTCACATATGTCAACTTGGAAAATGCTTATTTACCAGAGCAATTTGTTACCATGAGACTCAGATAAATCTTTAGAAATATATCTGTATTTGGAAATGTTGATTCCAGACTTCTCTTTTGAATAATTTTGAACACAAAGTGTTCAAGACTAGGCAAAAGTTATTTTGGAATTTGCCAAAATTGTAGCATTTCTCTTTGAGATCATGTTCACTGATTTCAGATAAATTTTGTAAAAATCCAAACTTGTCATTGAAATCGTGGTATGCATCAGTTCATTTCTCTAGCTGTACCAAAAGACAATCAATCACTGGAATAAAGGTTTTGGTTCTAAAACGGTCTCTTGGAGACAATTACACCTCTTGCTACAAGAAAAATTAGACTCTTACCTTGTGTTTCTTTTTCGGATTTTACATTTCTCACTCGAATATTCATCATTTTCTGAAGTCTCTGTACCTCTTTTTTTGTAATTCGTCATAAGAATCTCTCAATGAGTGTACAAAACTGATCAATGATTTCAGCAGCAAATTGACTGTATTCAGCTGAACCTTTTCATTTTGGAGTTTCTTGCTTGTTACATTAAAGTGTTCCAGGGAGGTGTGCTACAAATTGATAAATATGTCTGTCTCTGGCTGAGACATTGTAGTCAGCAGTCCGGTAGCTGTACATTTATTGACAGCTGCATCATCCTCATCTTCAGTGATGTTTTCCAATATCTCAATAATGATACCATAACCAGATAACAGTGCCTTCATGGCATCAGCATGAGCAGACCATCTAGTATCAGACAATTTTTTTTGGAACAGATAGTTTATCTTTCAGTATATTCTTCAACTTCAGCCAACAACTAGTTGATTCAGATAAGAAACTGAATATTCTCTGCATAAAATGAAAGAATACTACTACACCTTGACAACATTGCATGGCAGTTTCTCCAACTAAATTCAACAAATGAGCTGAACAAGGCACATATGTTGCTAAACCACACTGCCTAGTGAGACAAGCTTGCACACCATTGAATTTTACACCCACATTCATCACATTGTTATGACATTGCCCTCTTCAATTCTGAATACCTAGCCCAACTGATTAAAAAAATTATAGTAATGCAGATACCATTTTTTCTCCTGTTTTCCTACAGCTATCCATGAATGTCAAAAATATTTTGACAGGACTGTCATTTTCAATGTATCTAAGGCAAGCAGTTAGTTGGTCAATGTTGCTGCTGTCAGGAGTCTCATCTACAGTTACTGAAAAATACTTTGAACATTGTATTCGAGAGACAATGATATTTTGCACCACCCCACCTACTTTGTCAGTAAACTCCTCAATGATGGTAGATGATAGGTCATTTGTGTGACCTCTTCCTTTGTTAATGTTCTTCTGTATATTCTTGGACAGAAATGGATCAAAGTCAGCAATGACCTTTATTATTCCAAGGAAATTACCATTTCACACAGATCCGACTGTTTCATCTTCACCACGGAAAGGGAGTCCGCATTCTTCTAGGAAGTGAATAACACAAACAACTCATTTCATAACATTCACCCAATAATTTTCTTGTTCTTGAAGTTATTTTACCAATTCCTTGTCGATTCTGTTGTTTTCAGACTGTAGTATACTTACCATGAAAATCGCACTTGCATGTATACTTGATCTTTCATGATTTTTGATATTCCTGCTTGCATTCTTCCAATCATTATATCCATTTGAAGCAAGTGACCCTTTACCAAAATTCATTAGGTTGCAATGAAAACGGTACAGTTTTCCATTGTGAGGAGAATAATATAGCCAGTGTCTCTTCATTTTTATGCAACTGGAAGAACATACCTTCTGTTACTGATCTATTCATCATCTTGGACAATTTGTTTTTGTTCTTCAATACTTCAAAGTAATTTTTTACCCAGTAATTCTGCATTTCAACACTTGACTCAATTAGCCACAAGCCAATATCATTGTCAAACCCTGAATCTGTGTTCGAAGTCTGAGACTGAGAGGGTCTACATAGTTCATCAGCAGTGTCTGGATGTTTATGAGTAGCTGAATCATCTGGAGGAGCAGAGTCATCTGTGGGAATATTAGTAACAGTATCATCAGTGGGAGCAATAGAGTCATCAATATGGGAGGTAGAACTGTCAGACAGTGCAGGATCAGTGGGTCTGAAGAATTCTCCAATTTTTCATCTCCTCATGTTGTCTAGTTTCTTTGTCAGCTTTCTCTTTCCTTTTTTTGCTACTCCACTTCTGAATCTTCTTGTGGCTCTATGTCTATTACTCATGAAACTCTAAAAAATCAAAGAATTCAATTATTTATATACATATATATATATAACTCAGATGTCACAATATTCTTAAATAATGTTAACAAAATATTTGCACAAATATGATAACTGCCAAAACAGTTTCAGTAAAAATAAATAAATAAAGAATAATCTAAATTAATATTCAAAATGTCAAGGAGATAAAGTATTTATGCAACTGACAAATTTATGTACATGTTATTGATGTCTGAGTTTAAAAACATCAGTTTTGTAATTATCAAATGATACCTTATATAACAGTTTACTTTTCTTGAAAGGTTCAGAGGCTGAGCCTGGCAGTTGTGTATGTATGCTTGGTATCATGTTTTATGGCGTGGGATCTATATGATGTTCTCTCTATTAATCAAAATGACCCTGGCAGGTGGTGGAGTTTATTGTAAGCACATGCAGTGAGTTGGGGTGAAGTTGGAAGGTGTGGGTTCTCCTTATCATTGGTCCAGCACTGTGGAGTGCTTGTACTGTCTTGTAGTAACCATTCCAGCTTCACTGGCTCCAAATGTAATCCAAAATTAGAGAAACTGACAAAACAGATATGATATTAACAATATATATTACCATTAAATTAATAAAATAAAACAAAT